AAATTTCAGAAGAGAGTAATTGAACAACAACAATTTTACTAATCAAAGCTTAATTGTTTTAGGCCAACAATTAGATAAGATTGAAAACAAAATTGAAAAAATACCTATTTCCCCAAAGAAATTAGAAAAAAACCTCTAGTAACCCTACCAGAAGATAGTGACTAAATTAGGAATACCAGATCAACTTAGGATTGCAAAGATTGATCAGTTAATTAAAAATTAGATGCACAAGCCGAAACATCACAAACTTCTCAAGTAACTGTAATTAACAAAAATTCTGAAACTGAAACTGAGACTTCCATATCTTCATCTGAGGAAGATATTAAAATCTTAGAAAAACAGTTCACTGACATAAGTATAAGTGCACCTATTTCTAAAATCAATAAGCTGGTTTTCCCTTCTAGTTCTACAAAAAATTGGTACTCCAAACCCACTCCCCCAGATATTCAATTTGAAGAGAAAAATATTTCTAACCAATTTTCAGTTCAATCAAACAAGCTCTATGAATGGAACATAGATGGATTAAGTGAGCAAGAAATTCTCAACAAAATTCATCACATGTCTATGGTCATTAATAGTTATGTAAATAACCTTAATGATCCTGAACCCCAAATTGTCGACTTAGTTACCTCAGGATTTACTGGAGTACTGAGAAGTTGGTGGGACAATTACCTTACTCCAGATTCTAGGGATGATATTAGAAATGCTGTTGTTCTTGATGATGATGGCATTCCAATTTTTGATGAGAGACTTGGAAGATCAAAACCAGATGGTTTAAACACTTTAATATTCACCATTGTCAAACATTTTGTTGGCACACCAAGTAATATTGAAGCTAGGATTCATGACCAGCTTAGTAACCTCAGGTGCCCAACACTTAGTGACTTTAGGTGGTATAAAGATGTTTTTATCAATAGAGTTATGCTTCGCCCAGACTGTAATAAATCATTCTGGAGAAGAAAAATTTGTTAATGGTTTACCTAATCTATTTGCCCATAAAATCAGAGAAGCCCTTAGCAAAGACACTGGGATCATAGAATATGATTCACTGACTTATGGCCAACTTGTTAGTACTATCCAAAAGGAGGGACTTAGGATGTGTATTGATCTTAAGATCAGTAAACAATTACAAAACGATAAAAAGAAAGCCAAATATGAAATGGGGAATTTTTGTGAACAATATGGTCTCCCTCCAGTAGCACCATCAACCTCTAAAAAAACTTAAGCACAAATCCCATAAAAAACATAAGTCATATTCAAAAAATAAATCTTATTATAAGAATAATAAAGATTTACTCACTAAACCTAAATTTTATAAAAAATCCAAAAAGACTATTAGACCAAAACCTAAGAAAACAGGGAAAATGTCTAAATGGTTAAATACCAATAAAGACACTATAACATGTTATAACTGTGGGAAAAAGGGTCACAAAAGTCCCGATTGCCCAATTAAAAAAGAGGTAAAAAACTTAATCTAACCAATGAAGAGACTGAAGAAATCCTAAAAATCTTCAGACTTCATAATCCGGAAGACTCAGACTCAGACAATTCTGATAACTCAGACAATCTGATAATTCCCTTGACTCTTCTACACCTTCTACGACAAGCGAACCTGATATTAAATTAGGATGTAATGACAATTGTTGTAAAAAAGTAAGAGTAATCACAGAACAAACTGAAGAACAAATTTTAATTGACTTAATCAGTAAAATTGAAGAACCGCAATTAAAATCTAAATATATAAAAAATCTTAAGGATCTGTTTGTCAAAACAGAAAAAAACAAACATCTTATAATAGAAAAACCTTTAATTAGTATTAACAAAACTATGGAAAGATTTAGTAAGGAAAAGAAAAAAGAATTAACCTTACAAGATCTTTATAGTGAAATTAATAAATTAAAAGTTGAAATAAAAGATTTAAAGGCACAAGACAAACTCTTGGCAGAAAAATTAAGTCTTTTATCCGACACTCTTGAGCAAGAACCTCAAGATAATTACCAATCTGACAGTGATAAAACTGATAATTCAACTAAGACACTTTCCCAGCGGATACCCGTAGCCTCCACCTTCAATGTGGAAAACTCTGGTTTAACGAAGCTGCCATCTCACGATGGGTGTCTACAAACAGAAAATCAAATTAACTCTATCAAAGAAATTAAATTACAAAAATGGTATTTCCAAATCAAAATCATTATAGCAAATGATTTTATTATTAATACAGTAGCCCTTATTGATACAGGTGCAGATGTAAACTGCATGCAAGAAGGACTTATCCCAACCAAGTACTATGAAAAAACCATTCAAAAATTAAAATCAGCTAATGGTACAAACATGAATGTCAAATATAAATTACCTAAAGCTCATATCTGCCATGACAATGTTTGTTTTAAAACCTCATTTGTCTTAGTAAAAGATATGACTGATGAAGTAATTTTAGGATTACCCTTTATTTATCTTCTGACCCCGTTTCAGATAACTAATGAAGGATTAATCACCCGACCTCTTAATCAACAGGTTAATTTTAATTTCCTACTAAAACCTGAAGTAAAAGAACTCAGGCAACTTAAAGATGAATCTGTTTCCAAGTACCTTAGAAAAATTAGCCAGATAAATTTTCTTAAACAAGAAATTGATCATAAAAGACTTTTAGAACAACTAAAATGTCCAATCTTAAATGAGAAGATTAATCAGTTCAAAGAAAGACTTGAAAATGAAGTTTGCTCTATGCTTCCTACAGCCTTCTGGCATAGGAAAAAACATACAGTCGAACTTCCTTATATTAAAACATTTAATGAAAAACAGATCCCTACTAAATCTAGGCCAATCCAAATGAACCATGAAGTCATGGAAATTTGTAAAAAAGAAATTTCTGAACTTCTTAAAAATAATATCATTAGGAAATCTAAATCTCCTTGGTCTTGTCCTGCTTTCTATGTTGTAAAAAATGCAGAATTAGAAAGAGGAACTCCTAGGCTTGTAATCAATTACAAACCTTTGAATGCTGTTTTGGAATGGATCCGATATCCCATCCCCAATAAGCAAGACCTAATCAAAAGATTAAAAAATGCCATGATATTTTCAAAATTCGACTTGAAATCTGGTTTCTGGCAAATACAAATTGCTGAGAAAGACAGATATAAAACTGCCTTTACCACACCATTTGGGCACTATGAGTGGAATGTTGTTCCTTTTGGTCTTAAAAATGCACCAAGCGAATTTCAAAATATTATGAATGATATATTATCTAATTTATCCCATTGCTCTATTGTCTACATTGATGATATTCTTATCTTTAGTAAAACAATAGATGAACATTGGAAACACCTTCATGCTTTTATAGGGACTGCCAAACATAATGGTTTAGTCATCTCAGCTAGCAAAATTAAGTTATTCCAAACCAATATTAGATTTTTAGGCTACAATATTCAGCAGTCTACCATAGTTCCCATTAGTAGAGCCATTCTATTTGCTGAAAAGTTCCCAGATGAAATCCTTGACAAAACCCAATTGCAGAGGTTCTTAGGTTCCCTTAACTATGTTTCTGACTTCTATCAGAATCTTAGGCAAACTGTCAAACCTCTCTATTCTCGACTCAAAGACAATCCTACTCCTTGGACACCTGAACATACTTCTATTGTCCAGCAAGTCAAAAAATATATCAAAACCTTGCCTTGCCTTGGAATTCCCTCCATCAATTCTTTCAAGATCATTCAAACTGATGCCTCTAACATTGGTTATGGTGGTATTTTGCTTCAGAAAGAATCTCCTACTTCTCCTGAACAAATTGTTCGTTTCCATTCTGGTATTTGGAACACAACTCAAATAAATTATTCTACCATTAAAAAAGAACTCTTATCTATTATCCTGTGTGTCTCAAAATTCCAGGATGATATATTAAATCAGAAATTTCTCATCAGAGTTGATTGCAAATCTGCCAAAGATGTTTTACAAAAAGATGTCCAAAATATTGCTAGTAAACAAATTTTTGCCAGATGGCAATCCATTTTAAGTATTTTTGATTTTGACATAGAATATATTAAGGGCAGTAATAACTGCATCCCTGATTTCCTAACTCGTGAATTTCTGCAGGAACCCAATGGCGGACAAAAAAACTCCTAAACCCTCGTCCTCCTCCAAAAAACAGGGGGGACCAGGCAAGGATACACTTAACCAAATGTTGGCCCAAGCAATTGCCTCAGTAAAGAAGGAAGAAGACCCACCTTCTTTGGCATTACTACCTAAGCCGACCTATTCTGCCTATGCTTCAGCTAATGCTCCTGGCCATTCTAGTGCCTTGACCATTGCTAACAGGTTTACACCTCTTGGTAGACCAGTTGGCCCATTAAGCCGACCTATTCAGCCTACTCTAGTAAACCCAAAGACCTTTTCCCAAATGGCCCAGCAAGTGCCACCAACAACCAGCCTTCTTGTTGATCCATTCTATCGATCAGGCCCACTACCCAAAGGCCCATCGACAGATTATACCAACAAAAACCCAGTCATAAACATATTTGCTATTGAACCAATCCATGCTCATTTAACCAATACATTGGATTTGGTCAATGCCTATCTTGGAGAAGGATGGACCTTTGTTCCTTCCCATCCTGAAAAAACTTTTGTATTTCACCAAGATATCCTTTTCTTCACCCAGTCTATTTTTATCAAAGGAATTCCTGATAAAAAGGACCCTAGTGTAGCTATCTACCATTCCCTATTTATTAAGAACATTATGTCCATTAAAGATTGGGGTTCTCACCCTTCTACCCTCCGAGAACTTCCTGGACATAATATTAAGTTTAGTTATTATGACTACATTGAGTCATGGACTAAACTTATCCTCTACCAGAGTGCTTCTCAAGATCACTCCTGGTTCATTCAATTTGATAAGAATTTCAAAAGCCAGATTCCCTCCTGGTTTGTAAGGTGGTGGCAGGTTCATGGCCCCGTCATTGAAATTCTTCCCAGTGATCTTCATGATCAATTCCTTATCTTCTCCTCTGCATTTACTCCTAGTAAACAGCAGTCCGCATTCCCCATTCCTATTTTACTAACCTTTTTCTGCAGGTACAAAATATCTTGGATTTGCAGGTGGCAATGGAGAATTATTGATCATCATATTTGCAGACAATATTCTGTGAAATGGTGGCCAAGGTACCAATATCAGACTATTCTCGAGGCTATTCAGAAGGATTATCCAGTCAAGGTTCCAGCCCCACAAGTGGCTCCAAAACCCTTGCCTCCCGTTACTCCTTCAAAAAATCCCATGCCAACACTCAAGGTCTCAGCATCACCTCCTGTTAAAAAAGAACAGATTGTTGCTGAGAGTTCGACCAAGTCAAAACCAAAGAGATCCTCCTCTAAGGACTCTACAAAGCAAGCTCCAACAGCGGCCCAATTGCTTGCAATGGCCCAGGAACTAATCCAGCAAGCCCAAGCTGCAAGCAACTCTGGATCATCCCCAGCATCATCTTCCGGATCAGTAGCTCCACCCATGAGCCCATTTGCCCAAGATCCGTATGAAGGGTATGATGACCTAGATGCTGCAGATTTAGCTAGCCCGTGATTCTTTTCTTTACTTGTGATGGCTTCAATCACTACTGTCTCCCCAATAGGACAGAAAAGCTGCCCATCACATGTAACGATAAGGCCGTCACATGGCTATATCCTGAGGCTGTCCCCCTAGTGATAGCCTTTTGACCATCAGGATTGCTTTTCCCTTAGTAAAAGTAATTCACTTCTACTTTATCACCGAAAGCAGAGACTTTTGTCCTTTACCCTTTCCTTTGTCTGCTTACTTTGCAAAAGCCTTGATCATTGCAATGAAGACCTCACTCCTCCCACTCTCTATATGAGGAGATCAGACAGAAGAAGAAGAACAAGATTTTCTCTCTCGAGAATTCACTCATTTTATTTTCCTCGTTTACAAACAGATACTGTGCTGATTGTAAGCTCCAAGTATGAGATGCTACTATTCCCCACACTTGTATCAATCTTAGTAGGCTAGCCCATTTAGTGCTAGTCCAGTAAGTATTGTAAATATACTTGTGTGTAATTATTATTGTTTATTTTACATTTCAATTTCCCATTCATTTCTGCTTTCTGAAACTACAACTGTACTGTAGTAACAAACCCATCATTCATTCCTCACTTTCTCACCTAAATCTCACAACTGCCCTATCCTCAGGGACTTATAAAGAGATAACGAGAGGTTTACAGACTCTTGGATAAACAAAGGTTGGGTGCCTTAGTTAAGTACACACTTAAAAATGATTTCTAGAATTCAACACAATAAGAATTTTCAAATGAATCAGATAATTCAAATATAATTCAGCAGATAGATATCAAGACCGTCAAATGGCTTTGATAAAAATAGAGCGGAAGCAGAAAGCAGAAATGAATGGGAAATTGAAATGTAAAATAAACAATAATAATTACACACAAGTATATTTACAATACTTACTGGACTAGCACTAAATGGGCTAGCCTACTAAGATTGATACAAGTGTGGGGAATAGTAGCATCTCATACTTGGAGCTTACAATCAGCACAGTATCTGTTTGTAAACGAGGAAAATAAAATGAGTGAATTCTCGAGAGAGAAAATCTTGTTCTTCTTCTTCTGTCTGATCTCCTCATATAGAGAGTGGGAGGAGTGAGGTCTTCATTGCAATGATCAAGGCTTTTGCAAAGTAAGCAGACAAAGGAAAGGGTAAAGGACAAAAGTCTCTGCTTTCGGTGATAAAGTAGAAGTGAATTACTTTTACTAAGGGAAAAGCAATCCTGATGGTCAAAAGGCTATCACTAGGGGGACAGCCACAGGATATAGCCATGTGACGGCCTTATCGTTACATGTGATGGGCAGCTTTTCTGTCCTATTGGGGAGACAGTAGTGATTGAAGCCATCACAAGTAAAGAAAAGAATCACGGGCTAGCTAAATCTGCAGCATCTAGGTCATCATACCCTTCATACGGATCTTGGGCAAATGGGCTCATGGGTGGAGCTACTGATCCGGAAGATGATGCTGGGGATGATCCAGAGTTGCTTGCAGCTTGGGCTTGCTGGATTAGTTCCTGGGCCATTGCAAGCAATTGGGCCGCTGTTGGAGCTTGCTTTGTAGAGTCCTTAGAGGAGGATCTCTTTGGTTTTGACTTGGTCGAACTCTCAGCAACAATCTGTTCTTTTTTAACAGGAGGTGATGCTGAGACCTTGAGTGTTGGCATGGGATTTTTTGAAGGAGTAACGGGAGGCAAGGGTTTTGGAGCCACTTGTGGGGCTGGAACCTTGACTGGATAATCCTTCTGAATAGCCTCGAGAATAGTCTGATATTGGTACCTTGGCCACCATTTCACAGAATATTGTCTGCAAATATGATGATCAATAATTCTCCATTGCCACCTGCAAATCCAAGATATTTTGTACCTGCAGAAAAAGGTTAGTAAAATAGGAATGGGGAATGCGGACTGCTGTTTACTAGGAGTAAATGCAGAGGAGAAGATAAGGAATTGATCATGAAGATCACTGGGAAGAATTTCAATGACGGGGCCATGAACCTGCCACCACCTTACAAACCAGGAGGGAATCTGGCTTTTGAAATTCTTATCAAATTGAATGAACCAGGAGTGATCTTGAGAAGCACTCTGGTAGAGGATAAGTTTAGTCCATGACTCAATGTAGTCATAATAACTAAACTTAATATTATGTCCAGGAAGTTCTCGGAGGGTAGAAGGGTGAGAACCCCAATCTTTAATGGACATAATGTTCTTAATAAATAGGGAATGGTAGATAGCTACACTAGGGTCCTTTTTATCAGGAATTCCTTTGATAAAAATAGACTGGGTGAAGAAAAGGATATCTTGGTGAAATACAAAAGTTTTTTCAGGATGGGAAGGAACAAAGGTCCATCCTTCTCCAAGATAGGCATTGACCAAATCCAATGTATTGGTTAAATGAGCATGGATTGGTTCAATAGCAAATATGTTTATGACTGGGTTTTTGTTGGTATAATCTGTCGATGGGCCTTTGGGTAGTGGGCCTGATCGATAGAATGGATCAACAAGAAGGCTGGTTGTTGGTGGCACTTGCTGGGCCATTTGGGAAAAGGTCTTTGGGTTTACTAGAGTAGGCTGAATGGGTCGGCTTAATGGGCCAACTGGTCTACCAAGAGGTGTAAACCTGTTAGCAATGGTCAAGGCACTAGAATGGCCAGGAGCATTAGCTGAAGCATAGGCAGAATAGGTCGGCTTAGGTAGTAATGCCAAAGAAGGTGGGTCTTCTTCCTTCTTTACTGAGGCAATTGCTTGGGCCAACATTTGGTTAAGTGTATCCTTGCCTGTTCCCCCCTGTTTTTTGGAGGAGGACGAGGGTTTAGGAGTTTTTTTGTCCGCCATTGGGTTCCTGCAGAAATTCACGAGTTAGGAAATCAGGGATGCAGTTATTACTGCCCTTAATATATTCTATGTCAAAATCAAAAATACTTAAAATGGATTGCCATCTGGCAAAAATTTGTTTACTAGCAATATTTTGGACATCTTTTTGTAAAACATCTTTTGCAGATTTGCAATCAACTCTGATGAGAAATTTCTGATTTAATATATCATCCTGGAATTTTGAGACACACAGGATAATAGATAAGAGTTCTTTTTTAATGGTAGAATAATTTATTTGAGTTGTGTTCCAAATACCAGAATGGAAACGAACAATTTGTTCAGGAGAAGTAGGAGATTCTTTCTGAAGCAAAATACCACCATAACCAATGTTAGAGGCATCAGTTTGGATGATCTTGAAAGAATTGATGGAGGGAATTCCAAGGCAAGGCAAGGTTTTGATATATTTTTTGACTTGCTGGACAATAGAAGTATGTTCAGGTGTCCAAGGAGTAGGATTGTCTTTGAGTCGAGAATAGAGAGGTTTGACAGTTTGCCTAAGATTCTGATAGAAGTCAGAAACATAGTTAAGGGAACCTAAGAACCTCTGCAATTGGGTTTTGTCAAGGATTTCATCTGGGAACTTTTCAGCAAATAGAATGGCTCTACTAATGGGAACTATGGTAGATTGCTGAATATTGTAGCCTAAAAATCTAATATTGGTTTGGAATAACTTAATTTTGCTAGCGGAGATGACTAAACCATTATGTTTGGCAGTCCCTATAAAAGCATGAAGGTGTTTCCAATGTTCATCTATTGTTTTACTAAAGATAAGAATATCATCAATGTAGACAATAGAGCAATGGGATAAATTAGATAATATATCATTCATAATATTTTGAAATTCGCTTGGTGCATTTTTGAGACCAAAAGGAACAACATTCCACTCATAGTGCCCAAATGGTGTGGTAAAGGCAGTTTTATATCTGTCTTTCTCAGCAATTTGTATTTGCCAGAAACCAGATTTCAAGTCGAATTTTGA